CGTACACAAAGGCTGCTGCTACAAAGGAGAAAATAGCCTTCTCTTGCCAGCTGCTCCACTGTAGCCCCAGCCATCAGCCAGCGCAGGTCTTCCTGGCTCTCAACGTGGTCAGTTCAGTATACAAGCATGGACATCAGTCAGTTACAGCTGCACCTTCTGAGATGAAAAAGTGTTCTTGATAATAAAAAAAGCTCCTTTTATACATTTACTTTTTATTGTTTGTGATGGGCTATGTCTGTTACCAGATGGATGCCCTAGCCCCACTGCTTTTTCTCACATTAAAATTTAAATCGAATACTGAGCATTTGAGAACTTAGAGAATCTTTCCTATAAAGCTGACACACTTGTTTAGTTGGTTTTTTCATGCTAGGAGATTTTAACTGCAAGAGACTAGCCTTATGTTCCCATTTGTGGAATTCTAAGAAAGTTGCTAATTTTCATCCTCTGTATCTAAAATTTGATTTCAGATTAATATTTCTGCCTGAAGGGTGATGCAATTTCTAGGCTGAAGTGGTGGCAGTGGAAGAGGCCAAGACTCTTGAATTTGTTTTAAAGAAATAATGATTTTACTCTGTAACACAGATATTCTTATATAGGCCTACCTGTGGCACCTGATGAGTATATTGTAAAATTTCTCAGAGAAGAGTCATTATTTTTAAATGTAATTGTAAGCAGGAGCCCGTAATTATTTTCTCTGGATATAGTCAATCGTGTAGTCACATCCATACTACCTTGGATGTCTTGTTACTAAGAGGAGTCTCCCAACCCTCCTGCAGCGAGCAGGGAAATCTTTAACTAGATCTAGTCACTCAGAGCCCCATCAAGCTTGACCTTGAATGTTTCCAGGGATGGAGCCAATGTCTCTTTTATTTCTGAATAAGGAAATGCACATCTGAACATTTTATCACTTCATATATTTATTTAACACCACTGAAAGGGAACCCTCATGGGTTCCTGGATTTGAGTGTTTAGTGCATTAGTAGAGCAACACAAAAATACCTGGACCACTGAGTCTGTAACACATACACATACAGACAGCCTCAGAGTCAGTACCTTTCTACTTTTAACTGTTTTATTGATCTATCTGTAGCTTTTTTACTTGTTTGTAGAAAATCAGTTCATACATAAAAAGGTTCCAACTGAAACCTTACTTTATAAAATTCAAATCTTTCCCAAAAAAAAAGTATTCTTTCAAAAAACTAGTGCTTTCTATGAAGGAATACTACCATTTTCCCCTGTTTCCGTAGATGGAGTTTACGGTTTCAGACATGGTGTATTTTAGGTGAAGATGTTTTTATATATCTATAATAAAGTCATAAGAAATTTTTGTCTTTTCCTCCCAAAATTACTTAAAAGAATGACACAATATTAAAATGGAAACCTGACAGCAATTTGAAATTCCAAAACATGACAAATAAATGCCCTTAAAGAGAAAGCATGGTGGGAAATATCAAACTAATTACAGTGAAAATACATAGCAGCTTGTGTTTCTGTGTACGTGAATGGAAGCTCAGTGAATACAGCATTTACAGTGTAATTATACAGTACTTATGTAATACTTTGCCACAATGGCAAAGAGCAATATTGCTGCCTTGCTAGGGTGTTTAGAAAGTAATACATAAGTTAGTGTCATGCTTTAACCCCAGCCAGCCACTAAGCCCTACACAGCCACTCAGTCTCCCCTGCCAGGATGCAGGAGAGAGTTAGAGGGTAAAAGTGAGAAAACTCGTGGCTTGATAAAGGTGCTTTTATAGATGAAGAAAAAGGCACACACACAACAAATTCACAAAAGCAAAGTAAGGAATTAATTTACCACTTCCCGTGGGCAGGCAGGTGTTCAGCAATCCCCAGAAGAGCAGGGCTCGTTGACAGTTACTTGGGAAGACAAAGACCATCACTCAAAACATCCCGCCATTCCTTTTTCTTCCCCCAGCTTTATATGCTGAGCATGACATCATATGGTCTGGGATATCTCTTAGGTCAGCTGGAGTCAGCTGTCCTGGATGTGTCCCCTCCCAGCTTCTTGCCTACCTCCAGCCTACTTGCTGGGTGAGGAGCAGAAAAGGCATTGATGCTGTTTAAGGACTGCTCAGCAGTAACTAAAACATATGTGCTGTGTCCAGCACAAATCCAAAATATCACCCCATACTAGCTGCTGTGAAGAAATTTCTACTCCAGCCAAAACAAATTATCAGCAAAACACAGTATGACAATTTAACTAACTGTTGGAAATAACCTACGTAATTACTTAAACGTAGCTACATGCAGATAGCGGGTAATAACTGCATGATAATTTCTACCCTTTAGGTAGATGATGTGTGCCATGTGTTTGTGAGATTTGCTGTGTTCAAACAAGTGATTTAATGATGACATGAAATAGGCCACTTCTGCTGGCAGAATATATATATAACTGCATACAGACATACACACAGGCACAGAACTGCATCAGCAGAAAACCTCACCCAGCTGGCTGTGAAAATGAAGCCTAATTCTAAATATGTATCTCTATTTTAATTTAATATTACCAACAGAAATAAAAAAGAGTAGCACTGTAGATATTCATTTAAAATAGAAAAAAAATTGCACAAATGACAGCATGAAAATCAGCTTTGGGCTGAGCCCTGTGAAGTGCGCCAGCCATGCAGGTCCTTACAGGTCCTGTTGCAGTAGGTGTGGATAGGCCATATGTGACCGTATGCCTCTGACTGACTGAAGTTTTCAGCAAAAAGTACTCCATCTTATTCATGTCCTCTATGACATTTTTTTTACCAGAAAAACTTGAAATTAGCTTAGAAAATAATAGTAAAGGATCAAGTGAGTGCAAAATATCAGAATATTTTTGTAGTCTAATACTGGATTCTTCTCTATTTTAAAGAAAAGGCTTTTAAACCTATGAGTTTTCTACTGTAGAGGTCTTGTTTTATGAAAAAATTTTAAGCTTAGCAATTATCAGTAGAATTTTCACACATAAAGAGAAAATTAAAATTGTAGTTAATATATATACATGCATTTATGTATATATATACGCATATATTCAAAAAGTGTTGTGTATATATATATGTGTGTGTGTATTTTCTAAAGTTAAGCTGTGCCATTTTATTGGATGCAACAGTCTTGATTAGAGAGCACTTCCCATCAATAGCTTTGGGGTACCAGGCAGCACACTGTGGGCACTTGAAAATGCAAACTCTCCTGTGTTTTTCCAAAACCTCATTAATAAATTCCAGTTTTAGGTGATAGAATCTCTGGCCAGTCCTCCTTCTCCTTCCCCCATGAGATCAGCATTACATTGCAGCCCCTGAACTGGGCCCCCATCTGAGAAATTACTGTAATCCAGGCCTAAACTCTGACCTCTTTACCCGTGGCCTAGGTAATTAAATTATAGTAATGTTCTTGGTTAGATAAAACCATCAGATGTCATTAGTCTCTCAGTTTTACTGAAACTGAATTCTGTCAAGTGTTTGAAGAGACATTTGAGGATCTGAGGAGGTCATTTGAAGATTCAAGCTGATGTCTCAATTACATTTTATTTCCTGACAAGAAATCACATATATTGAATTGCTAATATTGTCTCAGTCACACACAGAATCACAGAATGTTAGGAGTTGGAAGAGACTCCACAGGCTCTCTGGGCAGCCTGTTTTTCCCAACGTTTTTGTTGAACCTCCTATGCTCCAGCTTGCATCTGTTGCCCCTTGACCTTTCTTTGGACATCCCTGAGAAAAGCCTGGCTCTGTCCTCCTGACACTCCCCCTTTACACATTTATAAACATTAATGAGGTCACCCCTCAGCCTCCTCTTCTCCAAACTGAAGAGACCCAGCTCCTTCAGCCTTTCCTCATAAGGGAGGTGTTCCACTCCCTTCATCGTCTTTCTGGCTCTGCGCTGGACTCTCTCAAGCAATTCCCTGTCTCTCTTGAGCTGAGGGGCCCAGAACTGGACACAATATTCCACATGTGGCCTCACCAGGGCAGGGTAGAGGGAGAGGAGAACCTCTCTCAACCTGCTAACTACTCCCCTTCTAATACACCCCAGGATGCCATTGGCCTTCTTGGCCACGAGGGCACATTGCTGGCTCGTGGTAATCCTGGTGTCCACCAGAAACCCCAGGTCCCTTTCACCTACACTGCTCTCCAGCAAGGCAGTCCCCAACCTATACTGGCACATGGTGTCATTCTTTCTCAGATGCAAAACTCTACACTTGCCCTTGTTGTATTTCGTAAGATTTCTCCCCACCCAGCCCTCCAGCCTGTCCAGATCTCTCTGAATGGCAGCACAGCCTTCTGGTGTGTCAACCACTCCTCCGAGTTTTGTGTCATCAACAAACTTGCCGACAGTGCTCTCTAATCCCTCATCCAGATCATTGATGAATATATTGAACAGCACTGGCCCCCATATTCACCCTTGAGGGACCCCACTAGATACACGCTGCCACCTGGACCCTGCCTCATTGACCATAACTCTCTGACTTCTCCCCTCCGGCCAGTTCACAAGCCACCTCACTACCTGATCATCCTTAATACTTAATATCAGTCACTTAATACATTTCATTGTTTTTAAACCCCTTTAAGTATTCCATTCCAAAGCCAAAACTAAATGTTACAGAAATTTTCCAACTTACGAGTAGTATTTACATCATGCAGTTGAAGAAACAGATACTCTATGTTGTTTGCCCTTTTCCCAAGACACTTGAATCCTATCAAAGAATACTAGCCATGTTTTTATTATTTTTTTGCAGTGAATTCTCTTTCAGTTCTCTTTCTGTTCTCCTTCACGTTATGACAAAAAGTATGTAGAGAATTTCTTCCATCAAAATAACAAGAAACTATTGAATATAACTGAAATATGCATTGAAAAGCCATCATGAGTAACATTATATAAAGGCACAGATGAATCAGACGGCTAATTAGTATATCATTCAATTCAAAAGTTTGCAGACTTGGAGGCTTAGCTCCCCAAATAAAGTGATTCACTTAAAGTAATGTCATGATTTGTTTTAGGCTATTTGATCATTCCATGGAAGGATTCAAAAACTGGGAGTTTATGACTACTCACTGCTGGAGTGAAAAAGCAGCAGGTGACTGGATCTTGGAAATCTGTGACACTCCGTCTCAGCTGAGAAATTTCAAGACTCCAGGTATGACTTCAACCTTTATTTGGTCTCAGTGAATTCAGGAAAATGCTTGTAATTGCTAATACTGCCTTGACTGTTTTCCACCTTTCATTTACAGCTGGAACATCTCCCTGGTTTTAGTGTGCAGGCAGAGCTTGTGAAGACTGTTATTCTTCATTGCGGTTAACAATGCACTCTTCATTTTTATGTTACTGTTATTTACCATGTAAGACACATGGTTCTCTTTTATTCTGAACTTACTTCTAGTTTCCATGGAGAATTTAATCTTCTCTGGGGTAAAATACCCTCTTTCTTGCGGTCACATGTGTTGCCTCAAACTATAAAAAGATACTTTGACCATTTAGATCTGCATCATACCAGACATGAATTCTGAAAGCAGAAACAGACTCCTTTACCACCTGACAGCTTACCGAGAGGCAGTACTTTAGACAAAGCCAAATCCTTACTGGGCAGAATTCTCAAGGAAAAAGATACAAAGCTGCGTGGGACCACGTGCTGCATTTACAAGAATGTAGGCTCTGTATGCAGACATCTCTTTCCTTGGATGTTGAATATAGATATATCAGACAGGTCTTCAGCATAAATTAGAGCTGCCCAGAGTTATTCTGCTGTGTTCATACTACCTGTGTCTCTTTCAGGTTGATATAAGTCCCCTATTTACTTGGCCTATATCACTTATATAAGGCCCAAGGATTCCTTTTAATGTTGTTTTTCTTTGCTTTGTTTCTCTTTTATCCTCCCCATAAGAAAAAGTGGCATTTATCGGCATTTACACAACTAGAAAATCCTAGTTTACACAACTAGAAATTCATGGTTTGCCTCCACTGGTAGGTTGAATTGTGCTCTTGTATGGGCAGAGTACTCAAACCTGACATTCATCCACTCATGAACTGTGCTTCTGGTAAGAGTTTTTGAAGCTGCAGACATTCTTCTGCTTTTAATTCTCACTGCACAGTTCAGTTTAATTCACGTATTTTACTATAAACACTTTGAAAGAAATTAAGCTTGAGGGAAGGGCTTTAAAAGAGAGTCACGGGAGTACGTGCTTACTTCTATTTTCTGCTTATGAGAGATGAGTGTATACTTGCCTTCGGACTTACTGAAAATCAAAACCTTAAAAACCCTTTTGAAATAGTTATATTATACATAGACAAAAATGCCGCTGTTTGTACATGGATACTGAATATAGTTCTTACTCTGGAGTCATCAACATAGGTGGAAACCCTTTAATAAAAATAATCAAAGGTGAAATATCACTTAAAGAAATATTCCAGTTAAAAACATGTTAAAGGGACAAATACTGTTGGTATATGGGAAATCATTTATCACCAAATCTAAAAGCTTATTATGATTAAACAGCATGTCAGAATGCAAAAATATTACATTGGAATGACAAATCTAGTTGATTACTGCTTTCTGAAAGATAAATATTAATTATAAGAATTCTGCTAGAAAATACATTTAGGACTACATGACATTAGCAATAGAATTAATTTATAACTCAGTAAAATAAAAGATACATTCCTTCTCAGGTAGCTAAGTAAACTCTCAAAGCGATAAGAGTTTTCTAATTGATTTGCTAAAAATCAATTCTGAATTTTAAGACATAGATGTTAACTTAAAGTACTTGAAGCTATAAAAATATATCTTTGTGAATTTAACAGTAGGGAATTTTTAAGTATGCTTATTCCTGAATCAGTAGATTATTGGAAGTCATTAAAACTACTCACATGAGTCTCACGGAGTATAGGTACTTTTATTGTTTCTACTACATGAAGAAGTACACATGAAGAAATGCTGAAAAAAATGTGAAGTGCTTAAAAGCTTTGAGTTTATAATAGGAAAGGCAGGCATGAGAGATATGCATGTAGTTCACTATTCCAGAAGAGCGTTAATTGTTTTGATTCTGCTTTGTCCAAGAAAGGCCCATTAATGTTTCTGCCATCAGATATGGAGATGAAGTACTTTCTCTTCTTCTTTGTTGAAATTTGGTTTAATTATTCAGATTGGAATCAAGGCTCACGCCTCCAGCTCAGAAACTCAGTAGGACTATTTTCATCATGACTTAGAGCAAGCTGGAGCACAGGAGTTCTAATGTGTGAACACAGAGTTGTCCAGTCTCCTTCCTACTGCAAGTGCTGCATAGGCCAGACTCAACTGAGTCCTTCCATCTTGCACTTGTTATCTTGAACATCTTGCACACAGCCAGGAACATCTCTAGTTGAAGGACAAAGTTAGGGTACTTCTTCACCTTTGTGTGTTTCAGAACCCACTGGTTAATCCAGCAGTGTGATGAAGAGCCACAGTGCCACACGTTTCAGCTTTTCCCCTCTTCTCTCTTCCCTGGTATGCTCCCTGTACTAAAGCCTAGTAAAGAGGTAGCATGGAGCCATTTTGCGAACTGTTCATCTGGCCTGTTCTCCAGACATCTTTACAGCCCTCTTTTGTCACCAGGACAGTCAAAAAGTAGCCAGCTACATTTCCAGCTTTATACTTTAAAGCCAGTTCCTGCACATTCCTATTTTACCTATGTAGTTGTACAGGTTATACTGATTTATAATATCAATACTTTATATATACTTTTTTCGATGCTGCAGTGGCTAATATATACTTTTTTCGGTGCTGCAGTGGCTAATCTCACAGGACTGATTTCTTCCGCTTCTTGAGTGCTAAAGCCTAAAGACCCAGCTCTGGGACAAAGAGGCAGTAAGGCCAGGGGATGAGGAGAATGTAGACCTGCCCAACCAAAGGCTGTGAGAGGAAGCTGATACACTGAAAGAATCCTGATAGAGAGCTTGCTCTATACTTTCTTTTAATCTCAGTGTGAAACAGTACCTGAGACTGGTTGGATTTTTACACTCGTTTGGATTTCACAAGATACAGAGATCCTGGTTCATTGTATACTCACTAGTAATATGTCCCCCAACTTTCTACAGCGGTGGTTGGCCTGTGATGGAAGCTGTCCAGTAACACTTCTGTTCAAAACGATTTGGAAGTGCCTGCCATGTATTAGTGGTGGATAAACTTAAGTATTTGGGTTAGTCTCCACACTGGACAGAACATGGAGTATACAAAAGGTGCTTAAATGTAATTTATGGTGCCTCTCCAGTTAATCACTATAGCCTGTAGTTTATCACACTGATCATCATGATGCCTGTTTCTTGTTTCTGGTGTGTGTGTTTGTTTAGCTATTGAAAGGTCTTATAATTACGAGTTGCAGTTTTTCTGCTGAGAACAAAGAGCGAACATGTCATCCTATCTCTGCATTGGCAAGGTAGTGCCACATCTGTTACCTGTAAAGAAATGCAGGGTCCAGTTTGTAAAAGTAGTGCTTGTGATTTCTGCATTTAATTGTGTAGAGTTTATAGAGGAGTACATGTGCTTGCTGTGAAACACTGTGATACCCTTTCTCCTATACATACAATATGAGACCTCTGTTACATACTAAATACAAGCAGGCCAAAGGATTATTGTAGCCAAACTAAATTATGGAATCAGCCAAAAATGGGAACAGAACGATTTTGGCTTAAGTGTGCACACTTCATTTATTCATTGTAAAAACTCGTGTGTGTATATATATATACTCAATTAATGAAATATTTTCATTGTGCAAATTAAACCTGCCTTGAGGCAGACTTCATTTATTTGCTGGCAAGTCACATGAATTTTTTCTCCTCTTTCTTTACTGAACCATTCTTAAGAGGCAACTAATCTCCTGAGAGACCCTGTGTTATTCCCCTTGCTACCCTTTTGCATTCGGTATACATTCAAATCACCAATCCTTTCTCCAGTAACATAAGCCCTTCCATGTGTGTAAAGTCCAGACACAATACACTGTGCCTGAGCAGCATCTTTACTTGCAATTATTTCGGGGGGGTCCTTGCAAATACTTTTTTCTAGTATTCAGTATTTTTACCAGTGTTCTGAAAGAAGTATAAAATCAATCATTGGAAAGTTTAGTGACCTTTGGGGTGTAATAATGATAGGCATGAAAAGATATGAATAACTTAGAAAAACAGTTTTTGATTGCACCCAATATATTGTGTCCATCTGCTGTGGAAGTAGGTTAAAACACAAAAAGGACAGAGACTGTAGATGGAGAGCTGTAGCTTTGAAAATGCTGTAGACATGACTGCGCATCTGGTTAAAAGTGCACTCCCTGTGTGATTCCTTTCCTATAAAGAAAAGTTCCTTTGAGGACCCAGCTGAATCTCCCTGAAGATCAAGGAAAAGTAACTTGATCCTTACATGTCTAAACAGGGAGAAAAGAATTGTTCTGTGTCTTTTTCATTTAGTACAGACTAAAGAGTTACATAGCTGTGAGCTAGAAGTAGGAAAAGACAAACTGAAAATGAAGAGCATGCAGTTTTACAACCAAGGTTATTAGCCAGTACTTTGGCCAAAGGTGTGGTAGACTCTTCATGATTTATTTTTTTTTAATGAGGATTAAATATCTCTGTTTAAAAAGTAATCATAGAATCACAGAATCATAGAATGGCCTAATCTGGAAGGGACCTTAGAGATCATTTTAATCCAGCCTTCCTGCTGCCAGGGACGCCACCTCTACTGTGTGAAAACAACTGTCACGGGATGTAGTCTCATGCATATAGTTTCTTCTCAAAAACTTGTGTGTAGAGCAGAGAAGGTTTCATATGAAGTATAGAATGTCTGTCCAAGAAAGATTGGACTGAGTTGGCAAGAGACAGACAGAAATTCCCATTTTTAAGTCCAGGATGTAGAAGAATTTAAAAGAATTGAACAATCATCTGTCAGGTGGTGTCTGCTTATTTTTGATTACTGCCTGAGAGCATTGCAGAGAGCAGAGAGCATTGTCTTGGTCATGTCGATAGAGCATACCAGGTGACACTGGGAAAATACCGAAAATCACTTAGAAAGGTCAAAGTAATTTGCTTGCATGGATTGAAGAAGTCCAAGTGAACAAAATGAAAACTCAAATTATTAAGTATCATTAAAGTGAAAGAAGAGGGAGATTGCTTGAATTTAATTTTATATTAAATATGCTGAATGAGTTTTTTGAGAAGAGACATGCCTGGATTACATTTCTTTCTAAATAATAATTCTAAGGGAACTGTATTTTAACCACAGAGCAACCTCCAAACCAGGATCTTTCCAATTCAGGAAATAAATATTCCCTACTCCCCTGTTCCCTTTCTATTCTGATACAAATTTAATGCTTCTAACTAGTTACTCAGACATAGATATAATCAACAGAACAGGGTAAGATCAAACTTAAGTTCTACCTTTTCAAGCAGGGATGTGTTTCTTATGCATCATGACTTCAGGCGTTATTTCAGGCCTGCATCTTTTTGCTCTTACAGAATTAATTCACCGGACAGTATAGAAAAATGGGGTCTGGAAATACACATTTTGTGTCAGGACAGACTGAAGTGGTGACTTGATATACATTTAGGTTTTTATTCAAAAAAAAAACCAACCCAAACAAACCACCACCACAAAAAAACCCCACCACAAAAACTTACCAAAAGTCCGATAATGCTTCAGGCAGGCAAATAATTCTTTCTCTCTTTCTTCATTTCAGTACTGAGGTGATAAATATTAGTGATGAACACAGACAGTGGAGTGATATATCTGCCAGATAACTAGGGCAAATAAATAAGAAATTGTGCTCATTTGGGTGTAGGTACTGGTGTTCTACCGTGGAGATTTCCTGTTCATCAAGATGTGTCCTGTAAGCCAATGAAAAGTACTCATGAGTAATAAAAAAAAAGTAACCCCTTTCATAAGTTAGAATTCCTAATACAGCTAGTTAGCGAAAAGGTCTCAAATAATAATTGCTGCATAATGAATGTTCTGAGGCAAAATGAAATTCAGAGCAAAAACTCCTTATTGAGTACCATATACATTTTCTGAATAACTGTATGGCCAAGGGTTTTGTTGTTTGTTGTTTACACTGAGTTTAACCCATGGTGCAAAGTCTCACTACTAATGAAAATACCGTGTAAAAATCTGATTGAGGAAAGCATGATTTCTCAGTTTACAGTGAAGCAGCAATTCCAATATCTGTATTAAACTGAAGGTATTTACTTGAAAAGAAATGTCTTCCATACCTACTCACAAACTCATGTTTACAAGTGATACATTTTTGTAAGACACAGAAAAATATATAAATTATTTCTAAACCTAGATTTTAAATACTTAACTTCTAGGCAAATTGAAAGAGTGGTCCTTAGTACTGTATGGAACATCCATACAGCCTTACTCACCAAGAAATGATTTTCCAAAAGTGGAAAGAAAAAGTTGAAGACCCTACAGAGGATTATGGAACAGATGAATATTCAGGTGTGTACATTCATTTACGCTGATTTTGTATTTACTGAACACATAACAAATTGAAGGAGTGACCTGAGACTCTGCATACGTAAAATGTTCAGTGAAGTGTCAATTCTTAATTTCATAGAATGGCCTAAGCTGGAAGGGACCTTAGAGATCATTTTAATCCAGCCTCCCTGCCGCCAGGGTCGCCACCTCTCAACTAGATCAGGCAACACATGGGGATTTGTTTCTTAGGTTAAAGTTATTTTTTTTCATTTCATATGAGTTTGTAAGCGTAGAGTCACATGTTTTTAAGCTACACTTAACATACTGTGAAAAATGCACTGCTTTTCATTTAAGTGTATAAAAATGTCTATATATACATACACACACACTTATATGCGAGGAACATGTATCTTACATCTGTGTTGTTTCTCAGTGATCACTGAAAGTTTTTACAACCTTGTCATTAGACTTCAACAGAGTTAGATTTTTGGCAGCGCAAAGTAAGGCAAGTTGGCATTTTCATACACGTAATTCGACATTAAGAGCATCGTTTGAGAGACAGGGTTAGAGAGATAGTTAGGGCTGATGAATCTTAAGTTCAGCTCCAGCGAGCAAACAGCAGGACAATGTTCAAATTAGAAGTTTCTGTTATTACAGTCTCCTGCCACAGCATGTTACACCCAGAGCTGCTGGACTCCTTCTTTTGATGAAACACTATCATCTCTGCTATAAAGGTCACTAAGTTCTTAAGTTTTTGTATGAAGCAAACTCGCTTTATTTCAGGCTTACTTGACATTAGGAGAAATTTCAAGGTGGCTGGCAAGCTGGACACATTTCATTCACGAGAGAGCAGTGATTCTGAAAGTTATAACTTCACCCACAGAGTTCAATCACCTAAATAAAGGCAGGAGTTGATGGTTCTTTTCTCCTGTAGCAGGAAGGACCTGTCTGAAAACTGTAAACATAAAACTATATAATATCTTGAGTTGGAAGGGACACATAAGGATCATCAAATCCAACATGAGCATGATTGAGATGGAATACTTGTTAATCAGCAGGTATTAGGCAAAATTTTTGCAGCATGTAGCAGCACAGAGGGAAACACATCTGGGTCCTAGTGGCTGGTTCAGTTGGCCGATGATAGCCACCTGAACCAGTTGTTGCCTAGTTGGTAACCAGAGTAGCCACTAATCACGTTCATCATTTATGGAGACCTGCTTGTTATATGTGATTTTTGCCAATAATTCCTATTATGAATTATGACGTCTTTGTACATTTCTGAATAAAATTCAGACTCGTTACTCATTAAGAAAGTTACTATTCGGATCCAGAAACAGTTTCTCTTTGATAGATTCCATGCAGAATGCCATCCTTGCTAAAATCTGTAGATCACTGTGAATAAATACTGAGGCCGAGATTTGCAAGATCTTCAGGTACTAAAAAAAATTTATTTTTATTAGGCCAAATTACTATTTGGAGTTCAGATCAAACAGGGAAATAGAACAGTTGCATTTTGTGTTAAAATACTATGTTTTAAGGGATGCTAAATACTAAATAAGAAGTTTTAATCCCTTCTCTCCCTGTATTCTGGTTTTGTTACAGGTCCCTGTAATGCAGAATGCAGTAAAGTAGGGTGTGATGGGCCAGGACCAGATCATTGTACTGACTGTCTGCACTACTACTACAAATCTAAGAACAACACACGGTAAGACCGAGAGAAAAAAATCTTTACTTCATAGATTTCTTAGTGTATATCTTAACTTCCTTTCCTCCTTGCTTTGCTGCAGTCATGGATAATTCATTTTCCACTGAATTTGACAGATTTTCTTAAGAGTTGAAAAAAGTACCTCTAGCTAATCAGAATTTGAAGTACAGACTTCAAACACCCTTCTCTAATTATTTCCCCATCTCTTGATTATTTTTTCGTAAGAAGCTATATATATAACTGTCATAGCTAATACAGCTTCTGTGATTGAGTTTGAACAAGATAGGAAGAAATGTAGGTGGTCAAAAATGATATTGTATGATGGTATGAAAAGGCATTTGCCAGTGAGATAGCATGTGCTGTAGGGAAGTAAATGGAAGAGGCAGCTTGATGGTAATGTTTTGGAGGGTTACATTTTAGTAAACACATGATCATTAGAAAAGCACAATGCTGAGAAATACTTCTGCTTTGCAGTCATGGTCCAGGAATGTGGTGGCAGGTTATTTCATTAACAACTCTGCCTTCTCTTCCCTGCTGTCTGCAGGATCTGTGTTTCGACCTGCCCACCTGGTCACTACAATGCAGACAAGAAACGCTGTAAAAAATGCTCACCCAATTGTGAAACCTGTGTTGGAGGCCACAGTGACCAGTGCATGACCTGTAAATCTGGCTACTACCTGAATGAAGTAACCAATAGCTGTATTACCAACTGCCCTGATGGGTTTTACCTGGATAAGAGTTAGTATTTCTTGTTTCTTTGTTGTGGGCTACAGAATTTGATCTGGGGAGCTTGCTGGAATACTTACAAGCAGGAAAAGTGTATATTGATGCATCTATCACTTATCCTATCTTATCTTTCTTATTAAATTGTTGCCAAGTGTCATGAAGAATCTCCTCAAAAATCTTCCTTTATTTCAAAATCCTTGCTTAGTGAAAGGATGTCTTTGCTGCTTGTAGCTGGGAACAACAGTAGCAGAATGAGGACAGCTCAGAGCAACTCAGCTGCTGGACAGAGCAGGCTATCTCTGTTCCAGAAAGGGATAGGCATCATCCACATTCTGGACATGGAGTATTCCCCATTCCCCCAAATTCAAGTGATATGGCACCAGACAGAAGAAGAGAACTGAGAAATAAAGCACAGCCACTGAACTGGAGCTCTAAGAAAAATAGGCTTCTCAGATGTAAATGTGGTTACAATTAATGTTTCTGACAGACCTAAGTACCTGCAGTGATGTGATGAACCAAGAGCAGTAAATCTCTGTCATATGAGAAACCATCCTTCAATTTCCTCCTCTGATTGCCAGGTGGACTACCCATTTAATTTCCAGCCACAGCTAGCAAAAATACTTAGACATATATTCAAACATGAACTTAAAACTGCATCATGAAGTTGTGTGTTCATTTTTGAGAACTAGTAGACGGATAATTCTTCTATTTTTCACTGTGTTAGAACTACAGTAAAGGGAAATCCTTTTCACCCTGTTAAGAAGGGTTGATTAAAATATTAAATGGGAACATCAATGTGTTATTTTTTTCTCAGAACAGTGCAGGGCACTGCATCTCAAAAGACAGCAAGTCTGAAAAGAAACATCTCTTAAAGTAAAGAGCTATACAGATGAAGAGGCAGGTGTTGACTTTGCTAAGATCAGACCTGTTCATGACAGTGTATCTTTTAAGAGCCAAATCAGGAAGACAGGACAGGCTGTTTGCATAGAAAGTATAAGAGGACACATGGCAGTCGCTACTGCATATCACTGCTCTAGGAAAAGAAAATTTAAGTCTATATTATAAATAATTAATGTAAATTTAAAATGTTATTGAGGATTTCTGTAATGACCTCAAAGCACGTTTTTCCCAAGGTGCAACTATAACTTCAGATGTTTAGAAACAGACTAAACCATTTGACATTTGATGGAAAAAGCTAATGTTAGGCAGAATTCAGCTGTTTTCCCTTCAGATGTCAAGACAGAAAGCAGTAAGTCATGTAATAATATATCCATGTAGTTTTATTAAACATAACTGACCAAGGTTTTCTGGGCTGTTTTCTTTTTTTCCTTTGTAGATAAGATTTTTTGCCGAAAATGTAGTGAAAATTGTAAGACATGTATTGAATTCCAAATCTGCACAGAATGCAAACATGGCCTAAGGTAAGGAAATGATGGATGTCACTGAACACGATGCCTGAAGAGGCTTACAAGGCTGTGGATACATAATGAAGAACATCAGATAGCTATTTGACCTTGAGTGGCCCTCGTTTCATATTTCGATCACTGTTTAGTTGTAACATAGTACTTTCTTGTGCTACTGTGTGCCAGTTTGGCTAACAGTGGGGTTTTAGAAGAGCTTTCATTACAGGTAAAGTAAGAGCCACAGTCATGTGGAAAGCTGATTTCTTCACTTTTTTTGACCTACAGCGTGGTAGTCAAGGATTATTTTAGAGGTAGAGCTGATGAAACATTAATTTTTCTGATTCAATCCTGTGGTAGTTAGACACTCTTATCTTTGTTGTATTTTTTCATACATTCACTTATCTCAGGTACCTCAGGTTCGGTTCTATTACAATATAGTGTGTACATATTTTAAACAGCAGTGTATATATTTTCTTCATAGGAGGACTTAATCATTCTTGAAACTGATAGGTGAACCTTACAAAGCAGTACACATTTCAGGATCCTTTATGAATGACCTTTTGATTCGAGCAGCAAAGGTCAAAAATCTTATAAAATTCGTGACAGAATGTATGCTGGCTTTATGCTACAAAAAATATGAAGTCAGTATTCCGTTTCTGTAGGAGTTCTTCTCACAGAATATGAGAGTTCTGCAAATGTTTTAACCTTCTATCAAAGTGGATTTTCATCTCTTAGTAAAAAACAAATATTGTTTGTTTCTAGGACATCAATAGCTGGATTCTTTTATATTTTGTAAAGGAATTGTAATTTCTTTGTGTTTATGTTGTGTCTAGATTTTCCAAGTACCCGCACAATTTTTATTACAAATATCTCTATTTTTTAAAAAAGTGATCCTTTAAAAAGGAAGTATGATCTAATGGGAAGGGAAGTATGTGATCAGATCAGAACATTGGTCTATTTACACTCTCTATGATATGATTATCTACTTACCTTTTAAAATGTTATTAAATTTGCAATCTGTGCTAAGAATTCTGAGAATTTTAGCAGACTCAGTTTGACCTTCTGTATATCTGCAAAATCAAATTAGTAAATTAGCAGTTTAGAAGGCCTGCAATGGGCAAATATATCAAGAGACCAAAGACTGCATAGGTTTGGGGCTGTATAGAATATGGTTGCGGTAGAAAAGTTATGCCCACATTTTCTTTATTTCTCAGGAACTGAGTTTCCCTGTCCACTAACACAAACAGCAGCTTGCAGCACCACTAGAGAAAGTAGACAATTCCATGCAGTATGAGAAAAGAAGGAGAAACTGAAATAGAAAAAAATAAAAACAACCCAAGCTTCATGTTTTCTTGCACAATATTAGGAAACCGAGACTGATTTTTATTAACATTTTCAAAAGTACCATACGTGTGTTGTCAGATAAATGGAGCTTTTCCGGGAGGACTTCGGAGACCTGGATTCCAGTTCTGATCCTGTTACCAGCCCATTAATAAACTTGGGCAAATTTTTCATTTTCTTATCTGTAAAAATATACTACCTGCCTTGTAAAGCACCGTGAGATGTGTGACTGAGAAAAATAATAAGAAAACAGGGGTTATTAGGTTTATTGATTTCACAGAATCATAGAATGGCCTAGGCTGGAAAGGACCTTAGAGATCATTTAATCCAGCCTCCCATTGCTGAGTTATTTTTTTCTAAATGCAACCATACACGCTCTTGGGAATCTGCAGTGGTGCTGAGCACACGTGACTTCTACTGGATCCAGCCTCGAAAACAGGATTAGCACTCGCTGAGGGTAGTAATCCCCAGAGCTAAAGAGCATATTTAGAGAAAGAGTTAAATTGGGTCAAAGCTGAGGTTCCGAAGAAGTTGGTAAGCATAACAGAGAAGTCCTGTAAACCAACACTGCTATAGGCACTTTATAACATGAAAGCATAAATAGCTACTTAGAGGGAAGCATAAAAATGTGACTCTTTACACTGTTTCTTTTTCTTCTGTTATGCACTGTTTTATGCTCTCTCTCAAAAGTGCCTGCAGGCAGAATTCCTCCGACTGTAATCTTGACAAATCTCCCAAGCCCCTCAGCACTGACATTCAGATAGGAGGTTTCAAAGGAAGCTTCTATTGGAGAAAGAAGTGGTGATTTCCTTCTCACTTGTGCATCTATTCTTAACCTGTGCTGTAGCATAGTTACCAGGAAATGCTGCTGGTCTTTCAGCAGAAGTATGAGATCTTGTTAACAAGTGCCTTAGCTTTTTTTTTAATACAGTGCTGTTGACCCTGTGCCACATTCCTCATGGGTAATTGCATTTTACATGCATGAATTTTTAGTACTTTTTGGCATTGTGCATTTTTTTCTGTCCCCTTCTACTCAGTAGTGTTTACAGTGAGTTTGTAAAAAGTTTCTGAATTTCACCATGAGCAAAACTACATTTCCTTCCCATGTGAAGTGATTGCTGTCTCTAAATTTCTAAAATATGACCAATAAAGTAAGTTGACGAATTCTAATATATTATATGTTCTTTTGTTAAAGGAGAGCTGCTGATTTGTCCATGACTTTATTGTCCTCTCTTGCTGTTACCTGACCAAATACTGTGCTTTTTTCCTCTTTACAATAGTTTGCATGGCACTAAATGTGCTATCCGCTGTGAAGAAGGAAAATACCATAATGGTAGAGAATGTGAACCATGTCACCGTTCTTGTGCAACATGTGCAGGTACCCTACTGACATTCTGCATCAATTCCTCTTCTCTGTGTTTTTATCTCTGATTTTGTTGTACTATATCACACTTAGAGTATAATGTAATTGTTTACATGTAGAAACTTTTTCTTCATGATCATTCTTCAATGTATTTTAAATCCAGCAGTATTCTTTCAGCTAACATGAAAATCTAAGACTTCTGGTTGAAAGTGTGCACGTATTCATTTTTTCTTTTTTCTATTTTCTTCTTTTTTCGTTTTCCTCTTTTTTCTTTTTTTCCTCTTTAGTAGAGCTCATTCTGATTTCCAGTAATGTCCTCCATTTTCTTTCTGGGATGGAATAATGACTGATATATTTTATGTGATGTTTAGAATTAGCAACAACCATCTCTTTCAGAAAAATATATACTGAAATTATGGAACGTTGTTTATTCTAACCGTGTACGTTAATTGCTTGATGTTGCTGTTTGAAGATACTGTCAGGCAGGTAAAACACAGTCTCTGAAAGATTTGGCTACATCACCGCCTGTTAGAGATGGTGTCTGTTAGGCAGTAAGAGGAATTAGCCAGTAATACAGTATATTTCCTCTGTGATTTAAGGTGCTGGAGCAGATGCCTGTATAAACTGCACACAGGGTTATTTTATGGAAGATGGAAGATGTGTGCAGTCCTGTAGTAGCGGTTATTACCTTGATCACTCTGCTGAAGGTGGATACAAAAGCTGCAAAAGGTATGATCAGTGGCTAATATATGTGTCTGATGTCTGGCAGTATGTTAGCTATTACTCTATTGAAAAAGCTAGTACTTAGAAGAAGATAAAACACTGCTGACTTCAAAAAAATAGAGAAAATACATTACATGCTAAGCAAATGAAGAAGAGGTGGTGGATTTCTTTTTAATCTGAGATATTCATGCAGCCCTCCAAAAAGTGTTTTTTCTTGTCTGTCCATCAGTATAAAAAAGTGAGAGTCTAAGTGGATATGCATATAAATGCAAAATTTACAAATCTGGTAACAAACGAAAATAGTCAAACTAGGGGTTTTTGTTTGTTTTTTTTTAATTGCAATTTAATTACTATTTCTAATCACAGAACCACAGAACGTTAGGGTTTGGAAGGGACCTCAAAAGACCATCTAGTCTAGCCCCCCCACCAGAGCAGGATCACCTACAGTAGGTCACACAGGACCACGTCCAGACAGGTTTTGAATGTCTCCAGAGAAGGAGACTCCGCAACCTCCCTGGGCAGCCTGTGCCAGTGCTCTGTCACCCTTGCAGGGAAAAAGATTTTTCTAATGATTTTGTGGAACCTCCTGTGCTCCAGCTTGCACCCATTGCCCCTCGGCCTGTCATTGGATGTCACTGGGAAGCACCTGGCTCCGTCCTCCTGACACTCACCTTTTACATATTTATAAACATTAATGAGATCACCCCTCAGCCTCCTCTTCTCCAAACTGAAGAGACCCAGCTCCTTTAGCCTTTCCTCATAAGGGAGATGTTCCACTCCCTTCATCATCTTTGTGGCTCTGCGCTGGACTTTCTCAAGCAGTTCCTTGTCTCTCTTGAGCTGAAGGGCCCAGAACTGGACACAATATTCCACATGTGGCCTCACCAGGGCAGAGTAAAAGGAGAGGAGAACCTCTCTCGACCTACTAGCCATACCACTTCTAACACACCCCAGGATGCCATTGGCCTTCTTGGCCACAAGGGCACATTGCTGGGTCATGGCCATACTGCTGTCTGCTGGACACCCCAGGTCCCTTTCCCCTACGCTGATCTCCAACAGATCATTCCTCAGCCTACAACTCTGCACTTGCCCTTGTTGAATCTCATAAGATTTCTCCCCGCCCAGCCCTCCAGCCTGTCCAGGTTTCTCTGAGTGGCAGCACAGCCTGCCGGTGTGTCAACCACTTCTCTCAGCTTTGTGTCGTCAGCAAACTTGCTGACAGTGCTCTCTGTTCCCTCATCCAGTTCATTGATGAATATATTGAACAGCACTGGCTCCAGTACTGACCCCTGAAGGACTCCACTAGATACAGGCCTCCAGCTAGACTCTGTCCCATTGACCACAACTCTCTCTGACTTCTGACTTCTGAGATGATGTCAAATGTTTTACTGAAATTTAGATAAACCACGTCCACTGCACTGCCATCACGTATCCACCTGGTTATGTCCTTATAAAAGACTATCAGGTTGGTCAAATATGACTTCCCCTTAGTAAAACCATATTGACTGCTCATAGTTACCCTCTTATCTTCATTATCCCTAGAGACCATTTTGGTTCTTCAGCTGCATTTTCACAAACATTGCACAAGTACATTACCAGAATACTGTCCGAAATAGCTGCCTGACACTGTACAAATGGGTGGATGAATCTTGGACAAGACTGTACTGTGCAAGGAAGGGACATTTTTTTCTATTCCATTCTTTGTTAAACAAATACCATTAGTTGCCCTTTGGAATTGTTTATTATTGACTCGCTTTGAGTTCAGGGCAGGAATGGGATGACCATGTGTTACAGGTTTCCACAAAAAACCCAAAATCTATACATAGTGAAAATATGATGGAGACAGAAGGGTGATGAAAAGACTGGGCAGCAGGTCAGTCTCTTCCATCCTGTGGCTTTAGCTCACGCCTAGCTGGTGCACGTATTACCACTTCTGTTGATTCCTTCTGCATAGTTCCAAAATACTAGAATAATGCAGGTATTTAGTAAAAAAACCAACAGGTTTTGGAGGAAAGAGTCTGGACTGGGTTGCAGGGGGAGTTAATTATTTTTTATAATTTATTTTATAATTTATTATTAGAGCATCTGATACCTCTAGAAACAGGTAACAAATGCTTTGCAATGCAGAAGAGGTCTCCTAGGAGCTCTTGTATTTGGTGAGGCTATAAGAGCAGCTCCTGACATTGTCTTTCAGATGTGATGCCAGCTGTTTGGATTGCAGTGGTCAAGGAGACAGGAACTGTACAAGCTGTCCAAGTGGCTATAACCTAGACACTGGTGTCTGTGTAGTGGGCACAGTCTGCAAGGATGGTGAGTGCAATTCTCTGAAAAGATCCATTTTACCACTGACAACTTCTTTTACATAGATTGGGTTGGTCTGGTCTGTTCCTTTTTTTTTGTTACAGTCATGATTTGAGGTCTACATTACGTCTTAATTTTTTCAGGTTTATGAAGAGGAGAAAACTATATTTATGTGTATTAACAAGATGAGTCACATTCACTTTACTTGAATTTTCCTAAAATAGTATTCCCCCCTACCAACAACCTACTTTTTCTTCCTTATCTGTTTTTCAAAAGCCATTGCTTTCAAAAGATTTTTGTTTGAAGACCCTAGCATACAATCAATAGAATCACATTTCTACATTTTGCTTTAAACTATGAAAATGCTGGTAACTAAAAATGGTTTTAAGTGCTTGTAGTATTGCTTGAATTATGTGAAAGGGTAGTGAGAACAAAAGAGTTCTGAAATAGGGAGCAAGCAATTTGTAGTGAAGATTTGAACTTCCTCCAAGTTCTCTGTGACAACCAGAATAACATTCTTATTGCATATGATTGGCTCAGTTATTCACTAATGTTCATTCCTTTCAGATGTCACAATTACAGAAACACTTAGATAACATCATACTTCCCTAAAAGTGTTAGTATGTGAATTACTTGTAAATATAGCCCAAGTGCAGTCCAACAGGATAATGATTACCAGAAAAAAAAAAAGTATTAAGCCATAGGAAGATACTTGCTATCAGATGCAGAAAAAGCTAACAATGACTCTTGATTCCAGCTCATTTCTCTTGGATTTTATGAAGAGTCTTTCCAAAGACTCTAAAAAAAAAACCAAAAAAATAAAGTGTGTAAGGTTGAGTATTGTTTCTGTGGACCTTTACAGCTCCTGTTGGAGTTCAGGCCTTCAAATGTGAAAAGTATCCTGCCTGTCATAAAATCTGATTACAAGTACTGGTAAACCATGAGTCCTGAGACCTTTTCACATCAGGACATTGAAAGTGTTGTTGTAATCAAGAGCAAGTCCAGAGAAGGTCAGCTATAGATGGACAAATGAAGAGGAAGTGTAATCTGAATTTGTTCTTTAGTGTGGTTGGATAGATCTGTCTTCTTCTGTACATACGCGGCCTCAATGGGATACACATGCAGTTGCCCAAGACTGGGGACACCCCATCTCGGTACTGTCTCCCCCATTCTTCCAAGTGCAGCTGCCATGAATGAGCAACACACCAGTGAAATTGCAGTGCACTGTGCACAGTGGACCCTGCCACACAGCATGTGTTCTCAACAGTCCAGGGTAGCCAAGAAAGGCCCAGAAGGGTCTGGGGGGAGGTTCTGCTAATTTACAAAGCATTGAGAGTCTCACTTCATTGCCTGACAATCAGGTACCGTTTACTAGTCTGGCTCACTCATAGGCTTTGCATTTCTGTGGAGAATGTTTTATTCTTTTCTGTGGTTTGACTGTTTTATTCTTTTAATTCATAAAAATTGAGAACAAATTCCTTTGCTGTAAATATCACTGTTTTCTAATTATTCTCTTTCTAATCTTTTTTTTTTCCTTTTCACAAATGGATACCAATCATTCCCTGTCGGACCACACAATATCTCTTCCTGAAAAAAAAAAATGCTGTTGACTGAAATTCCTTTTGATGGACCAAATTTCCTATTTGCTACCTGCTCCTGAATGATCTCTTCAACCAAATCTGCCTGTCTGACCAATTAAACCTTCCTCCATTGTACATGCCATACTCTCCAAACCTTCAACCTCCCCTCCTTCTCTTGCTGCTGCCCTCTGGAAGCCACGGAAGAGTCCTGGGCCGAAGGAGGATTCTGTATGCTGGTGAAAAAGAACAATCTCTGCCAGCGGAAAGTGCTTCAGCAGTTGTGTTGCAGAACATGTACCCACAAAGGGTGAACTGACACCTCCCAGCGTCCTCCTGCTCTTGTAGACTTATAGATTAATCCATATAATTGAAAAAGGAAAAAAAAAAAGGAAAAAAAAAAGAAACCACCTCTCTCTCCCCTCTTCTTTGTCTGGGGAGATGGTGAACTGTTTGTTGGAACTCAAATGGAAAACTACAACACGCCTACCTTTCATAACTGGGTGTCTAGAGCTAAGCATCCGGGATCACAGAGTCAGTATTGTGTGACCAAAGCATTTGATGCCAAAATTAACATTTAACTCATGATTTGATTTCCTATCAACCTTAAGATTATTCCTGTTTTTGAAGGTCCTTTTTCTTCCCTTTTTTTCCTGCTTCTTTCCCCTTCAAGATGTTTAAAGTGTTTGAAGAATACAACACAAGTTTACATGGATTAAAACTAAATACAAAAATGTTTGCATTAGTCTTTTTTGTGCTATGTGTATTTACAGGGGGAACTTGAGTTCCTGAGGGGATCAGAATCATCATTAACTGCAGGACTAAGTTCTGCCCCTTTTGTAACAGTATTTAAAAAAAGGAAAAGCAAACATTTCTGCACACATTTCTTTCTTACTTCCTCTGCTATGTGCTGGTTTTTCTATCACATGCAGTATGTATATATGTTTGCCCAAAATGTGGTTTTGGTCATATAGATTTCATTTTTAGACAGCTAGCTTATTAACAGATATGCTAGGATTTTTATTTTATTTTTTTAAATTTTCAAAGCTATTTCAAATAAACTTTAAAAAAAAGTTGTTCCTGTAGTGAACAAATTCAAAAGATACTACTTCTCTTTGTGTAAGCGAGAGTAATGTATACGCTCGGAAGTCAGAAACTTTGCTAACATGTATGAAGTATTCATAAATTATTGTTGTCTTGCAATGTTCACAAAAAAGGGGATATTATCATGCAGATATGTGGAGCTATTTCATAGTGCCGATATGTAAATGCCAGTGTGACTATATGCGACAGGATGTGTTTACAGGACTGGATTTATAATTGTGCCAAATATGTCTCCAGGAATAATTACCTATAAGGCAATACATCAATGGTTATCTTGATATAATAATCATGTTATGGTGGGCCTGAATCTGCTTTTAACTGCTCACAGCAGACATTTCAGCAGGAATAGTCCTGCTGAGGCCAGTGGAGTTACCTCACTGTAAAACTGTCCTGGGTGAAGGGAGAAGCGGCCCCTGCTTTACTCTCATTACCCAGGTTCATGGCTGCCACTATGAATTTCTGTCATTTAGCAGAAGACAAAAAACTGAACTTCAAAAATACTGTTTTCAGGGGATAGTACTTAAAATGTACAAAATGTCTTTCTCGGTTACCTTTCCAGGACATATAAATAGAAAATTGATTGCAGGTGTTTAAGCATGTGAATGTTAGAAAATAAAGAGATTCAGAAATGCTTGTGTGAGTTTTACAAACAAATGGATGCAAACCTGTAGAGGTAATGTGCCACCTTTAGCAGAGAGCAGATAAACTATTACAACCTGGTTCGGTATGATAGGGGGCCCGTCGAGCTCCTTTGGTGCCCATTACAGATTTCCTGATAAACACTCAAATTTTAAAGAATTCAGTTTGTTTAACTACTAGTCTGTTACTGCCTCATTTCTCAGTATAACATGTTTAACTAGAACATAATGCTTTCAAAGTTTAAGTTAATATTATAT